AAGCTCTGTAATTAGGTGAAGTTTCCAAAGCAGAGCCATTAATTTAAGCACAAAATCCCCAGAACTGTGGGAATTACTTTATGCAGCCAATTCGCACCAGCATTTCCCAGTGGGATAGAAGTTGATGAACACAGTGGATTGGTTTTCCCCCTCCAGACAGACTCATCTTGGAGAGGTTGCTGCTATCACCGGCTAATCAGTAAACACGTGGGTGTTTTATTTATCCTTTGAAAGACCTAAATCCCTCCCGAAACAAATGGGACGATGCTCGTGCTCTATTGCTGCTGCTGTTTGTGTCCCGTGTTTGAGCCCTGGCGCTGTCAGCGCAGCCCGGGTAGCGAGGTGGGGTTAGGAGCTGGCTGTGCGGTTGTAGCTCGGCTTTATTTGCCCGCTGACAGCTTTCCCCTGGGTGTGGGATCCCTTCGGGTGGATCGTTAGGTGGATCCTGAGGACAGCTTTCAGCCCAGATCTAGCCAGAATGCTGCTCTCCCCCTGAGTAAGGCAATGACACGGGTTTGATAGATCACATCTTTTGAGAAGCCTTGTTTTCTCTTGTAAAAGTGATTGCTTTGATTTTATCCTAATAGGAAATTTGGAAATAATTTGGAAAGTAATTCAGAGGGAGCGTGCGTCAGTAAGTGATCAGCAGAACTGCTTTCGAGCAGAACAGTCTCCCTTTAAATTTCAGCGTTGAGCGTGGTTAATGTTGATGTCCCCAGCAAAACCATCCAGCTAACGCACTTGGTATTTAGCCCCAAACTGTTTTCTTTTCCTGTTTTGGGTGCCAGAACTCCTTCCTATTGAAACTCCTCCTATTCCCCGCAACTTTGTCAATACGACGTTTTGTTGATGCAGAAGTTTGGGGCGTACTGAAAATTGAGATCTCTTAAAAATTAGCATAATAGCTGTATTTTTAAACAAGTATTCGGGGAAAAAGGTTGGATAAAATAGCGAGCGTTTCATAAAGTGTGGCGATATGACGTAACCAAGCAAAACTTTTAATTTTGCCTGCGTGAGTGGGATAATGAGGACAGTCTGGATCGGGCTGCCACAAAGCTATTGCTTTTGACAGGAGCTCTCCAGGGAGACACGGAGGTGATCAGAAAATCAAATTCACACCAGAGAGCCAGCTGACATCACCGTCAGCAATTCCACGCTTGTCCATCACAGCACTCCGGTCAGGCTTTCTGACAGCTCTAATGCTACGATTGCAACATCAGCTGGGAGCAACAGAGACGGCTGGGCATCGTCTGCAGAGGAGCCGAAGTCTTGGCTGATAATTGCGTCAGGAAGCAAAGGCTCCTTGCCAAACACCAGCAGATATCTGCCGTCAACACGTAACAGCAGGCAGGGAAGGCCAGCGTGGTCTTCAGCTGCAGGAACAATCTGGAACTGTCAACAGCTCATAAAGACGAGGGGAAAACAGAACATAAAGCCTTGTTGTCTGTGATTTCAACAGAGGTTGCTGAGATTAAGCCCAACAGACCTTGCGAGGGTTTAGGTTAGGGCCTCTGTCACTTTTTGCACTAGCGGCTGCTTAGAGCATCTCTTTGGAGGTGGAGGGGAAGGAGGGCAGCACAACATCACCGGGGAAGACAAATGAATGCAGACGGAAGGAAATACAGGAGGGTGACAGAAGGAAACTCTTCATCCGAAGGGCAGCGATGCTAAAATGCAGAATTTTCGTATGAGAACTAAAGCTATGTTTAAGAAATGCTTCTTCATACTGCGGAAGGAAAGGTAAATTGTTGAACCAGCGAATCCCCCTGGACCCCAGCTCATCTGGGTGCCAGCCGTGTTACGTGGGTGGGACGCTGCGGAGCTGCTCATCGGTAATGGGCTTTCTGGTGCTGGGCAGGGGCGGCAGCCCATGGGTGAGCAAGGGGTTTCTGCTGTTTCTGTATGTTGTTCTCAAGGACCTTCAGTTTCCGTGGTTCTGATCTGGAAGGAGACCTTATTTGTTTTCAACAGTTATCAGAAATAGCACCCTGTCCCACAGAGCATCAGGCGGAGCAGTAAGCTCCTCCTCTCCCCCCAAAACTAGCACCCCACACCCCAATCGGATGAACAAGCCTGGAACGTTTCTTATAATTACTGTACTTATTCTCCTGGCATTTTTCTATACCAAGGAAGAAAATCTTGAAGATACATTTTGGGGAGAAAAAAAAAAAAAAGACAACAAAAAAAGACACTGAGACACTGCCTGGTCTGGTTTGTGACTCAGGTTCCCGTTTGTTACCATACGTGTGTGAGCGGGGTGTAATAAACGCACGCCGGAAAGTCCCCGGCCGGCAGGAACTGTCTTGGACTTACAGGCTCCCTCCTCTCCGCTCCGTCCTTCGCAGCCCTGTGTTTCTCAGCGCACAGATGATATGTTTACACTTTGGATCTTTAGATCTAGAGGCTTTAGTTTTAGAGCGTGAGCTCACCTCCATTAATTGCGAGCTGTATTTAATATTTATGCTAAAAGGACGTGAGGAGTGTTCGAATGAGCGTGTTCGCCTTTGGAAAAAAAAAAAAAGGAGCTGAAAAATTACCAAGCACTCTGGTTATAGAGTCCTGTAAAGATGCCAGCAGGCAGAGCGTGATTTAAGGTGCACGCTTTTGCAAATCAGCGCCTTCATAACAACTCTGAAAGGAGAGAGAAGGGGGGGGGGGGGCGTGTTAAGATTAATAGAGCCTCTTATCTTTACTTAGTGCGGAAGTTCCCCAAACGGATGAGCGTGTCACATCGCTGGGTCTTTCTTAATATTTTTTTCTCCTTTTGCTTGCTTTTCTCCGTGGCTGTAGTTGTACAAATGGCGCCATTCGTTGTATCCACCCCGCCTGTTGGCTTGAGACGCTGCGGATTAATTGAGCAGCATGGTATCTGTTTTTCAGGCTTCATAGATAAACAAAACATTTTTACATTAAAGTGCTTCATCCTCTTTTCCTGTGATATTTTAAGGCTTCCTTATCTTTGCCTGTCATAGAAGAAAACCTAAAAGTCCCCAACTTCTGAGACCTTGGTTTGGTTTATAAACAGGCTTTCAGCAGCAGACTTTTGCAGCGGTACCTATGCGTTGTCCTGCTCTTAAACTTGGTTCTTTATTTCAATACATTGGCTTTAATTTTTTTAAGCCATTGTGGTTCTGGATCCTGAGTCTCTCTCTGCAGGTCTGGAGAAGCAAGGAAGAAGTAGGCTTTTATCTTTCAAAGGACAGTTGAAAGACTTTGTGTTATTATTTGGCCTTGCTTCAAAAAAATGCACTCCTGAGTATGACAAACTAGCTACTCCATAGGCGTCCTGAACTTCGCTGAGTGAAAATGTATTTGAAGTATTGGGGGTTTTTAACAGGTTTTTTTTTTTTCTCAGGCATAGAAACGTGCTCTGATTTACGTGCTGGTAGAGCTGTACAGCCAGGAACGCTAACGCAGTGTCCGCAGCCAAAGTGCTGATGATAGTGAATATACATTTTTTCGGTTGCCAAGGGCTCGGTTGCCATGGGCTCTCCATCAGTTTTCCCTCTTCTTACCCAGCTGTGTGAATATCAAATTCCTAGGACCTTTATGCACTTTTATTTTGAAAATGTTGTTGTCTTAACGCGTAAGCTGTTGGAGGTGCGGTTACGCAGTATTGCTCTATTCATGGCCCTTCTTAGGGAGGGGGGCGCAGTACGGTCTGGTGCAACCTGGTGCCTGATGGTAAGAGCTGACAGTGAATAAGTTCATTGAAAAGTATGTTGGTGTTGTGCTAGATTGCTTTAAGTTTTTTTTTCCTGGTTTTATCTATCACTGAATGATGAATAAAATGGTCATGTTCTTGCTGATTGCACATTTATTAATTTTTCCGTAATCCTGTAGGTTTTGGTAGTCTCTTGCCGTATCTGCAGGTAAGCAGTCTACTTCCAAAACAGCTGTGTGCTTAGTCGGCAGCCTCCGGTACGCTTCTGCCCCGGGAAGAGCAGACAAGGACTGTTGAGCCTGAGTTGTGTTCATAGAATCGCAGAATGGTTTGGGTGGGAAGGGACCCCCAGAGGTCACCCAGCCCAGCCCCCCTGCAGGAGCAGGGACACCTTGAACCACATCAGGTTGCTCACAGCCCCGTCCAACGTCCAACCTGGCCTGGGATGTTCCCAGGGATGGGGCCTCCACCCCCTCTCATGGCCTGCTGGAACCAGTAGTGGTGATGGAGGGAGCTGCAAGTTCAAAGTAAACTCATTACTGATAACGGGGCTGCCCACAGTGCTCGTCGTATCGCTGCAGGAAGTTGGCCATGTTTCTTTTGGAAGGCAAAGTTTTTGCCATAAAATTTTTCACCGTGTCTGCTGTGGGTCCAGCTAGAAAAGGCAAAGCTCCACCGAGGTTTAACGTATTTGCAGAGGTGTTGGCCAGGCTTCTTCTACACCTCTCATTAATAAAAGGGGAGCTAACTAGTCAGGGCTTAGGAAGAGGATGAGGCTGCTGCTGTTCCGCCTCCAGGAAGGGTAGCTCTGACCCTCGGCTCTGCCTTGCACTCTGGTGTTTTCGTCCATTTTAAGGCTTGAAGCAAGAGCTGTGTCCCTTTTCCAGATGGGAGGGAGGAACATTCCAGTATAAGATTTGAGGTTTACGGAATATCTGATCTCTACAATTTTCTGTCTTTAAGAGGGAATTTGGTTCAGTTGTACAGGGTATCAATTTGAAGATTAGAGAATTGTACCGGGTTATTTCTGAGGCTGGCTAATGTTGAAAACGTATCTGACCTTCCTGAGGCCCGTTGAATGTCAGTGATCCCCGGGTGAGACGGATCGGAGCTGAGATGTGATAACCTCAGCCAAACCTGTGCTGTTACTGAAGGTGCCATCCCACACACCCACAGCAGACATATTCTGTTTATCCAGCTCTCCAGTAAATGTTTTATGTTTTCTTTTTCCAATATAACCAGTTTATAAACATGCTTCTCTCTTAACTAGGTGCCTGCATCTTAAATAGACTTGTTTTTATGCTTAAAATGATTATCTTACATTTTCTGTTGCCAGGCCAGGTACAAGCAGAGTCTTGATCCTACTGTGGACGAAGTTAAGAAGCTGTGTACATCTCTGCGCCGGAACGCCGAGGAAGA